ACATGTTAAAAACTTCAGTTTCCTCAATTTGATGAATAGTAAAGAAGGTGTCCTCATCAAGCTTAGACCTAACAAAATTAAATAATATATTAGGATCATAATCATGTTTTGGCATTTCCAAAAGAAGCTTGTTAGACACATCCGTGAAGTGGGTATTAAAAGTATTTTCAATATCTTGTAGATTATCAACAATTTCCCCATCAGAAAATACATGAGAAGGAGTTATGTTTTTTGAATTACATGTTAATTGATTAAGATAGTTCCACATTTCTTTGGGATTTGAACTCTGTTCAATCGCTGTTTTATAGTAAGAAGATTTTGATTTGTCTATAAGAAGTATAACTTTGTTTCGATAAAGTCTATAGTTCTCCATATCTCCTTCTTTGTGGTAAGAGTCACGTAAGTGTCTAGCATTGTTTATTTCTTGTGTCAACCATTTAGGACGAATTTCACTCTTTACTCGTTTGGTTTTAATCTGAGCATGCCAGTCAAGTACGCTATTGAATAATTCATAGAATTCAGTTAGTATTTCATTAGGGTCATGCAACTGGAGGAGAATGCTAAAGTCTACATCTTTTAAGTCTTGGAGGAATTTATTTTCATCAAACTTTTTAAGTCTCTATACTGAATTTCTATGTGTTTTCCTTTTTGTTGCATGCATTTTGTTTTTCTAGTGGCACATATTGGGTAGTGATTATCACGACATGAACAATAACCCTCATTACATTCCGAGCATAACCTATTAAGAAGAGAATATACATTATTGTCATTAATTATCCCTCGGAAATAGGTAACGGCTACACTTTCATTGCCCGTTTCCTAGTGGCTATGCGGACAGAGCTTGGTTTTGTGTCTTAGCTCTCCACAGTTCCAACAGTCCAGCTTTCTCCCATGCCTGCAGTATCGCGATATATGAACACTCTCCCCGCAGAAATAGCAGAAGGTTGAACGGAAGGAGTCATTGCCAGCCGATGTTGTATTTATTTTGACATTGTCGCGCACATTTCCTTTTTTCAGAATATTCACATATCCTTGGTAGATTTTCAGCAGTGCTGCGGTACCTCTGTCTGACAGGTGGATTCCATCTTTCCAATAGTATCCCTGTTTGAACTTTCCATCTCCAAAGATTTCTGAAGTAGGGATCACAGTGACACCATACATTTCACACACATCTTCAATAATTTCATTAACATCACTGATATTGGTATCTCGCCTAGCAAACACTTCTGAAATAAACACACGTGCACTGGGATTCCGATGTTGGAGGTCCGCGATTATTTCTGCAAAATCATGTTCAATGCCCTCTGCATTACGCCGCCTTGAAGCATCATTTCCACCAGCTAAAACAATAATATTTTTGTATGATGACACATCCATTTTTGTAAGTTTTGTCCTTATGTTAGAGATGGTTGCTCCTCGGTTTGTGCTGATCTGTACACTAGAATGCAATCCTCTGGTACGGATCCTTTGTAAAATGGAGCTCCCTATGATGAGGACAGATTTGTCCTTTGATTTCTTTCCAGGTTGATCTGTGGAATTGGGCAAAGCAGGAACAATCTTGATCTCTGGAGGCTCGGTGGTATCCGTCATGGTACTACGACTGGTTAGGGGCACTTTAATGTCATACTGACTATGCCTAGATACACCAGGCACAGGAATTTTAATTCCTTCTGTTGATGTCTCTTTCTCCTTTGTCCTGTTTGGAGCTGTTTGGGTACCTTTTGTTATTAGAGATGAGACCTTCCTCGATGCATTTAATTGCTGTTTAAGATCACTGACTTCTTATGACAGAAGTTGGACAGTGTCTGAGAGTTCCTTAATGATTTTTGCACTGTCAATGCAATGATGACAATTCATTTGGGGGTCTTCATCAATTTGTTGGGACTTACTTTTAGGAGTTGATGTCCACTGCGGAGATGTTTCCTCAATGGTCTTACATCTTGTCTCTAAAGTGTCAGCAGAGGTCTTCAAATTCTTGAGAAATCCTTGGCACCACGAGAAATATGAGTCTCCTTGGATGTGAAGGGTATTTGTTTTCTCATAGTGAAATAGTGAAGAAGACATTAAATTCAAGTTATTGGCCCATAGAATATCTGTAAATAATATTTTATTTAATTAGAGAATACATATTTTGTTGAGAAAATATTACTTGATCTGTCTCTCACTGCATACAAACTACGTCACGATGTAAGAAATGACGTAATATTATCAAGATCTTTTACTTGTTTATAACTTGTAATGCGGGATTTAATTAGCGACAAAACAACACGCTGTAGTAAGTTTTTATGTAGTTTGATGATTTCTTACTGGTTAAATTAACAGATAAACTCATTTTGTGGTATTTTAAAGAAATGTTGTATGACGTATATTGTGTATGATGTCATAGTCAAGTTTCCCCGTACAAATTAGGCTCCGCCTCCTTTTTGTAACGTTAACTGTGCTGCGAACATCTAATTCCAACATTTTTCTTAACTCTTCCTTTACTGTATCCGTCATTGAATAGGGTAGTTGCCTGAACAAAAAAAATTGTGCAACCTGGCTTATCTGTCAGTACGTCTCTAAACTCCCGCAAATCTTCCATAATTCGTATCAGCTAACTCTCTTGGAGATTTGGATTTATATTAACATTGCTCAATGACTCACTGTTAGGGAAGTTGTACCAATCGATCTCCTGGATTTCATTATTACTGGACTCTGCATCGGATAGGATACTGCAGTCCAGCATCAAACACTGGCTCTGTTCAAGTTCTACGTAATGCTTTAGTAGATTGATGTGAACGGCCTTACATGCAATCTTTCCATTTTTTTTTTTCGATCTTATAATCTACGTTGCTGATTTTTTCCGGATGACAAATGGTCCCTTTCACTGCATAAACAATTTGTTACTATCTGTTACTTCTCCTTCTATCAATGTACGACTTCTGGTCTTTCTATCATGAATTTTCTAATACCTTTTTGATGATTCTTGAAGTGTGTGAAGTGCTACTCTACAGTAGATTCTAAACGATCTCTAAGATCCAGAGCATACTTGAAACGTTTTCTTAATTTCAGGATCTTTAATTTTCTTTATCTAAAGTTCCTTAAGAAAAGTCATTGGCCCTCTCAAAGTTCTTCCATATACCAAACGGGGAGAATCCCAGGCTTTCTTTGGGGACTTCTTTGTAGGCAAATAGCAACGCAGGGAGGTATTTTTCCCAACCTTTAAGACGGTCACACGTTCTTTTCAGCATCTGCTTCTAAAACAATTGAGGCGTCAACTAAAGAAGGACATGGAGATAATGAACAGTATTCAATCTCAGTCAAAGTCCATAAAACAATACAAAATAAGAGCAGAGCAAACACGGACTCCCCAAACATCAGAGGTGGGATCAGGTGCCATGGAGGAGTGAGCATCCCCTGCCGTCCGGTCACACCCGCCGTGTGCTTCTTGTCATGATCAAGAAATAACGAGAAAAAAAAAGTGCTCGGCTATGTTAAGGAAGGTCAGAGTTCACATTCCTTGTACATGGAATGGAAGTTTAATTGTGACGTCATTGAAAATTAACAAGCCACAAAAATTAATTAACGACATGATCATGCGCAAATAACAACTTGAATTTATTTATTTTATCGATTATTCATAAAATCTTGTAAAATTGCAATACTTGATAGCGATACAGTCGAGTAATAGAAGAAAGCCTTTTGTCAAATATGACGTCATCAGCCTTGACATGACGCAGCACAAGTGATCCAGAGGAGTAGATTCAATGGTTTAATAATTACAAGAATGCTTAAATAAATATGATGACTTGCTAATTTTTAGACCTAATCATTAAAACTAAAGGAAAATTATTTATTAAATACAATGTGTATAGAAGATGAATTTATCTATTAGCATTGAAGCTGCACAGAGATAAGGAATATAGAGAATATCGCTAAAACGATGAGCGTATTCGTGATTTACATCAAAAGTGCAAGGTCATAGACGATTTTGTTTGAGCTGAAATTTGGAATATTTATTGCTCATATAGTGTATATTTTGAAAAGTGCTGGGAGCTGATCCTGGTCTGCATAACATTAGTTTTATTTATAACAGAATTTAAGCTAAGTGGAAATTTTTAGCTATTATAAGTATTTTCGGCAACATTTTAAGTACTTCGCAAACAGCACTGGCTAGCTCCCAGCACTTTTTGGGTAGATGATATAAACCTCTTTTAATGTGTATCAATTATTTTCTTGAAAAACAAGCGTATGCCCTTGCACTATCCACATTTCCTACATTCATTTTACAATTCTATTTTTATACAAGTCACGTGACAAACAGCTGATATGTGCGATATAACTGGTAATAACTACTGCCAAGTCCTATCCATTATTGATAGCTATATTACATTTTCTACAAGTATTCAGTTGCTTTGATAATTTTTTTTTAAAAGAAGCAATACAAATTAAAACGGTGCAAAGGTCACATTTTCCACATCGGTCCTTAACATAGCTGAGTGTCGTCAATTCAGTGTATAAATAATGGATTAACAATTAGTATGAAAAACGTCAGTCAGCATTAGACTCAATGATAAATTGTATTTGCTGACAAGGTCGTTGTATCGACCATAGAAATGATGACTTTAAACGAGAGTGATGATATTCTTGTTTCATCAACCATTCTTGTTCATAAACCGTTACACAAAGGATGATATATAGTCGTAGTTAGTTGATTCATTGAGATGAGTCTGCTTACTTCCTTCTTTAGAGCTGACGTAAACTGGCTACCCATGTCTGTGAGCATTTCTTATGAAACACCTACCAATAGTTACAAATTAGGTGAAAAAATGTCGAGTTAATTGTATTGTTGCTCGATGAGAATTTCACCGATCCCCTGTTTTCTTTGCGATCTAGTAAAGCTATAAGAATATCAAATTTTATCAAAATATTTTTTTTTCAAACAAAATCCTTAATATAACTAATTTCACAAGTGACATACCTTGGAGAATAAAATTTACATTGTTTTTATTTGAAAATGTAACAGTCTATTGAACTATTGTTTAAGTCAATGATATTGTACAATTTCAGATATTCCTTTAACGGAAGTGGGATAGGTAGCTTGTCAACAGAAGGAAAAATTGTTGTATCTTTATTTAGTATCCGCAAGTGTTTCCTTATCAGCGAACGACAACTCTGTTTTAAGCTAAGAGGTTCTTCCATAGTAAAGCCATATTCTTTCATTTTTATCCGGGTATCTTGAGAGTCTAGATCGTCACTTGTATATTGGTAACCAGCTGCAATAAATATGTGCAGCAATATATGAAAACTCACACAGTCCCTTGTTAATCTGTAACGAATGTAGTAATGGTAGGGAAATTGTTGCAATACGTCGCTGAGTTTATATTGGTTTGGATCAATTCCGTGTTGCAGAAGTAAAACCACTGTATCACAGGAAAAGCACGGATCCGGAATGCCCAGTGGACAATTTCTAGACTCGTAGACTTTACCTCTCCTGAAAACAACAACAATATCTTGTAGTACATACAATATATAAGTATTCTGATTTTCGCAATTAATAAATGTTGGTCTACCTTTTAGATTTTACTGGGTAACTAAAATAAATAAATAAATGCTCAGAATTGCTTGTAAAGTTGCGTGTACTTTTATGTGTCAGAAAACTCTAGTGACATTTGATATGCAATAAGCCATAGTGTATTATCCAAAGGTATATATTAGTTGTCATGTTTGTCAGATTCAACAGAAAATATTTGAATTGTAATATTATTTTATGATAACCTCAGACTGGATTTAACGATAATGCAACACTAACTTTCGTTAAAATTACTTGTAATTTATTTTTGCATCAACATTTTCTCACCCATAAAAGAAACAGTGGCCCCAGCGAGTTGTGTTTAACTTTGCCCCGGCCAACAAGTAAAGCTCGAGTACTTTTGTCATTGGCGACCATGGTCGATCGGAAATCACTGGTAAATTTATTGAATACTTCGAAAGAATAATACTGTATCGCTCTCTCTCTCTGGCTTTTGAAGAGTAATTAATTGCTTATATCCTTTATATTCGTTCACATCCGCACCTAATGAAGAAATTTAATATTCATTTGTAAGTAAAAACATTTATTTAAAGTTAAAATATAGTTTTTGAAGCATCGTAAAATTGGCAAACATAATCAACTCTCCTTATGAATACCTTAAGAAATCTTTGTATTAACATTTAAACCCATATCCGTATATACCTTTCTTGTATATATTTTTAATTCATAAGCTTGTCAATCTTACAACCATGTGTACAATTTTTCTTACTTGCATATAAATAACACACATAAGTTTGCACAATACCGTGAAAGAAAAGATACACATTGTTTGTTGAACTTCTACCATCTCAAACCTGAATCTAACAGTAGCTTTACAATGTCTGCATCCCTTGCTGCTATAGCATAATACAAAGGTGGAACCTTCTCCTGCTGCTTGTAACTCCGTACACGTAAATTAATGTCCGCCCCGACATCAATTAGCTTCTTAGCTAGCTTAAAATCTTCAGACCTGAAAGAGAAAAGATAATTTTTTTCAATTCACACCTGTTATGTCCGAAAAAATCTCGAACCCCGTTATTCAAATCAACCTAAAGTTCCGTGAAGTCAAGAATAGTCAATTATATACTTTGCTTTTGAAAAGTTGTCGTGCTTTTGACACGAATTTAATGTAAAGGAAATTCTCTACCCCAAAGCAAATGTTCTTGTGAACATTGGAAATTATATTGTATAAAGAAATAAATGTCAAAGTATATATTTCACTTTCAGTATAGGTTTCCTTGCATTTACCCCCAGAAAAATTGTTTAAAGACAATTAAGTATTGATAAACAGTTAAATCATTTAATTAATTTACCTTACCCTATTGTTTTTAGAAATACTTTAATTGATTACAAATTAAGTGATACACTCTACATTTCAATTTCTTTAATTTTAGCCTATTTTTTTTAGAAATACTTTAATTGATTACAAATTAAGTAATACACTCTACATTTCAATTTCTTTAATTTTAGATCTAAGTGCAGATCACTCTTACTGTACAGAAATATCACACATATAAGTTCTATATTCATACATTATATTTTTTCTTTAATTGTTAAGCAATAAACAATAGTGTCCAATAGAATTTAATTTCAATTTCCACATTGAGAGATAAAACGTTTTATAAATCGTAAATGCAGGCAATGACAAGGGGTGTGTATTCTACGTACTCCTTCTTTCTGGTGTCTATATATCAATAGAAACCATGAACCTGCGGTTCCATATTTATAGGGGTGTGTAGTTCTAAATTCTCTCTGGTTATTATATCAAAAACCATGAACCTGTTGCTTCAATGTGTACATACTCTTCTATTGCATATATCCATAGAAACCATGAACCTGTGGTCCGACTTCAAGGTTTATAAAAAAAAAGATTTATTCTTTGAATTATTAAAAATCCTTGTTCCCCTTTTTTGTGGGACATTCACTGCACCATAATTTCAAAAGGGTACTTGGTGTCCAATAGAATTTAATTTCAATTTCCACACTTAGAGATAAAACGTTTTATAAATCTTACATGCAGGCAATGACTACCTATTCTACCTACTCCTTCTTTTTGGTGTCTATATATCCATAGAAACTATGAACCTGCGGTCCGACTTCAAGGTTTATAATCTCATTAACAGAATTAGACTTCACTGAAAAATATTAGTTTATTTTAAAAAATTCTACACTATATCATTTTCTCAAAGTCCTTGTTCCCCTTCTTTTGTGGGAATTAAACTAATAAGATAAGTGTTGTAATGCACACCTGTTCTGTTGACAATTCTTCCTTTACAAAAGAAATACAACTTGGAAAAACCTGAAGACTAATGGGACAATTCTAAAATGTCACACATCTGTGGCTTCTTTTCTTTGACCTCCATTTTGTGATATATATATATATATATATATATATATATATATATATATATATATATATATATATATATATATATATATATATATATATATATATATATATATATATATATATATATATATATATATATATATATATATATATATATATCATATTACATACATGATAAGAATTCATGCTCATGTATCACTTAACAAGACATTTATGGTGTTCTTTTTGTAATTTTATTACAAATAATGCAAGTGAAATATTTATATGCTTCTGCTGGGCATTGAACCCGGGGCCTCTGGCTTGCCAGTGCAGTGCTCTACCGATTGAGCTAAAGGGTTGACCCACTAGTCAAAAGCTATTAAGAAGCCATGCATCTGACACTACCACACAATAATAAAATTAACTTAAGAAAAAAAATCTTGTAAATTATATTTATCAAACGTTTTGCATACAACAAATTATTCAAATCATCGTGACAATGTGTTAAGATTTCCAAACTGATGTAATCTGATTCCAAAATGTCTTACGTATTCCCAAACAACTTCTAAAAGAATTAGATTTTATAACTCCCGACACATGCGTCATCAGATATGCTTACATCATAATCAAGCGCTTTGATTTTAAACAGATCATCCTGGTCCTTGAAATGCGTTATAATTTTCCAACTGGTATAGTACAATTTGATAACGACTAACCTACTATAGTTAGGTTGAAATTGGAACAAGAATATATGTATTTCATAAATATGTTTCAATAATATATTTGTGAATTAAAACCTGATTTTTATGGTGATGATGCAAGTTGTACACATTTGAGGTAATTAAAGGAGGTATTTTAATTATGATTTTTATGATACTTTTGGGAATCTTTCATATTAACAACAAAAAAGAACAATGTACATGTATTGCACAATTCAAATCACATTTAAAAGCAGTGATTTGTTAAAAGTTTTAGGAACCAAAAGAGGTTGTTATTAAATACGTGTATATATAACTTCATTTCAGGAGTTCGTCACACAGAAGCATAACATGTAAAAGGCTGTAAATTGTAAAATATAATAAGCAACACTGATAATAAGATAAAGAAATTAAAAATCCCATTATGTTTTCTTTTAATGTTTACTGTACGCTTTAATGAACTTTTAAATTACTATTTTGGTTTATTTTATTTAGCCTGTTCGAAAAAGTACTCTTAGCATAGAAATTTATGGTACAAATTATTTACACTTTAAAATTATCAAGACTTATATAATTCAGGAAATTGTCATTTGCATGCACGAAGTGAGGACAAGTGAGGAGTTAATTAGTATCAAATTTGTTATGAAACTGCAAATGTGTCAAATATTGTGTGGTGTGTAATTATCTACACTGCATGATTCATATAATAAAAGTAACTGAAAATAGGAATATCCTGAATTCAGTAAGGATATAAATGTAAATGCTTGTAAAACATCAGAGAAACGTTTCAATATTTATTCATGTATGCTATCGTCTTTAATGCAAATTACAGGGTGTATATCCAAATCAGAAAGGCAATAACATCGTTAGGTCCCTAACAAAAAAATACTATAGTTAACTATATTTAACTTAACTAAAATTTTGATTTACTATAGTTAACTTTGACACTTTGAAAAACTTTGACGTTAACAAAAACTTTGTGAAAAACTTTGTCACTTTCAAAAACTTTGGCGAAAACTTTGACACTTTAAAAACTTTGTGATAATTTTTTGACACTTTGAAAAAAACTTTGACACTTTGAAAAACTTTGAAAACACTTTGAAAAACTTTGGCACTTTGAAAAACTTTATCGAAAACTACCTTGAAAAACTTTGGTGAAAACATTGACACTTTTAAAAACTTTGGCGAAAACTTTGATACTTTGAAAAACTTTGGTGAAAACATTGACACTTTGATTTACTATAGTTAACTATAGTAAACTATAATTAACTATAGTATTTTTTGTTAGGGGTTGCCGAGACAGCCATAAGCATTGACCCTGAAAGATTTAACATTAGACAGAAAAAAGAAATCAAAGCATTTTTTGGAGAAGATTCTGAGAATTTTGATGCAGTTTTGGTGAAGGTGATGGTAAATAAGAGGGCTGTTCAATTAATACTGTCCTGAGCTCTTTGACATAAAATATAAAAATCATATGCCCTTAAGTCTGACTTTCTCTCCTTATTGAATCTTTAATTAATTGATTACAGTTTATTTGACCACTTTTCACCACATAGTTTTATTGTGAGAAGCTGGAAAAGAGGGGCTATTTGACACACTGCATTAAAAATGCAATGAAAGAATCAGTAAACAAGAGCGAAAATAAACGCACAATGAAAGCTGCTGTAAAACTCATTACGATTCCCAAAGAAATATTTCATGAAATATGTTAAATTTACAGCAACTAATGTCTGTTTTATAAACAAATGAGCAGGTGAATTTAAATGAACACAAATGATATAATGGGCATCAAAAATGGGTACCGTCTTTGGAGACAAATACTTACAACAACCAAGGTGATGTTTGCACAAACTCGACAAATAATCACTGATTATGTCTTATAAAATTCAAGACACATAGCAAAATTGACGAGCATCATTTTAGGGGTAGTTTACAATGTTTTAAAGGAACATTTTACAGCAAAAAAGCTTAGTTCTCAATGGTCAACCTACTTTTTGAAAAATGCGTGAAAACAACAGCGTGTAAGAATATCTATAAACAATTATTTAAAAATAAAAAAAAAATGATGCTTACCACGTTTGTCTGAACTTCAAACAGATAATGAAAATTGATTTTAAACCCTCTAAACAAATTAACAATTAGCACTTGACAAAAACAGCCAATGCAAAGTTGAAAGGCACAAAACAAAAATATTAGTAGCCTTCTTGTTCAAATTCAAGGCAGTCAATTTCCGTAAAAGCAAACAAAAAAATGAAAGGCACAAAAGGATAGTTTTATGTCATTTTTATGGAGTTTTCTAAATATTCATTGCTATACATACCGCAAAGAAAATATTAAGACTTGTTTTTCAAATTCATTATTGGTACGGATAGGCAGTTCAATTTTATGACCGTTTATAAGAAACATCAACAAAATAAAAGAAACAAGGTATAAAGAAAAGCAGAATATTCCAAAGATTTAAGATGTTGCAAAATGTCGACACTGCAATTGTTTAAGCAATTTTTTGCAAAAGTTTAGAAAATTTTTATCGAAAGGATTATTTGTGAGGATTTTATCAATTTGTAAATATTTTCCATAATATTATACTTTATTTATTTTAAATTAGAGGATATCCCTACTACATTAAAAACAATGTCAGAAATTGAGATGTAATATACTGACTGTTATAAAGCTTTCTCTGTACACATGTTTGTATTTCAAATCTAGCTCGTGAAGGTCATGAATATAAATAAGAAATTAGAAGATAAATCGATTATATACCCGAGGCCCATGCATAACGGACGAGGTCCCCCTTTCTTTTGCAAACAACTGGTCTCGTCGATATAAATTGCCCCATATCTAAATAGAAAAGATGGAATTTTTCTATAGTTTTGGCTACATATGTAGAGATGTAGTGTATGATATGAAAATATAAACTCTGACAGAAGAGAAAATTAGCAGTGGGATATGCAGGTACATAAATTAAAGCAATTCCATAGCAAGTTCTTTCATACTCATGTAGCGGAACACATGCATATGTATAATTCTTTTAATCTGACATGGTGTCATGTCATACTATTCCAATCATTATTGATGTATCAAACTGCAGCGGATAGAGCTCAAAAGACTTTAAAATATTGAGATGTTTAATACAAAACAGGTGCATTGTCTATATATTAGTAGCATTTTTAAAACGTAGAATATTAACTTTATATACTTAAGGAAAACATTTTTTAACGAACAGTTTTAGCTTTGGCTCATTGATTTGTAATCATGTTTAGATGTCAACAATTGCCGGTGGCACGTGCCAGGGCCTGAGAATTTCGGAATGTGCTTGGTATTTATAGAGACTGAGCAGAGAGGGTATTTGTCATGCCAGTATACCCGACAACAAAAACCTCAACGGATGGGCCTGGTCTCCACATCCTGAATTCAAACCCACAACGATTTCTTTTTAAGATTCGTTAAAAATAATAAATAAAGGCAAGTCTCCAAAGCCTGCAGTGGAATACGACCCTGCATCGAAAGGAACAGCGCCTTACTCGGTAACTGTAGATGTAGTTTGGTCATTGGCTCTTATCACTGCGACACAAGGGCGATTTATGTTTTTTTTTTTTTTTGTTACAAGGAATAATTTCTTGTTATCTAACATGCTGAAAATATTTAAAATATAATTCTTGATTGTTATTTCCTTTAAATAACATCGGTAAATATATTCTTGATATATTCTCACTATCTATATGTAGAGACATTTTAACATGAATTAAGAAACCTCCACCCTCCCCACGTGCACCCTCTTCAGTTGATTAAAGGGCTAAGCATTTGTTGCTTTTCCGTCGAATTATTTTGAATTATTTACAACAATGAAATAAATTTGAGTTTCTGGTAAAATGAAAAATGTTTGCTTGCCCTCTGTCGACTCAGGATTTTAAATAAAAACCTTCGTTATAGGAAAAAAGGGATTTTATTTTTACTTTTCAAAATTGCATATACATGTATTGAATTTTTAATATTTTTGACAGGATGAGGACATTTCCTAGTGAATGAAAAAATAAATAAAAAAGTTTTTTGAAGTTTTAGAAAAAATAAAAAAAAAGTTTTAATCAGGCCAAGTTAATTGATTCGAACAGTAACATGTGAGACTTAAAATGGAAGGTTTTGTATAACTGAAAAAAAATTAAGATCTGTCAATACCGCTTAATGTATTCCATGAGGAAAAAAAAATAATGTAGATAAATATCAACTCTTCATACTTGGTGTGAAGTTCATTAATATGGGCTAAAACCAGGTCGAGTTATTTCATCATTATGTAAAACGGTATTAGAATTCAGGCTAATATGTATTCAAAATATACCCATTAGATTTTCAATGTGCAAATTTGTATATTTAATCATAACATAAACATTTTAAACGTTTGATTTCATTTTGTTTTTATTTGAAAATCTCATGCATTTTATTCTAAAAACTAAATGAATAAATAAGCAGATATTTGATGGATTCACTTTGAAACCTCGAGAAGATTTATTTCTTATTTTATACTTTATCAAGGTTGAGCTATAATTTAAGGTAAATTATAGGGAAAAAACAACATATACTTGCGAACGTGCTTCAAGTCCATGAATTTAAATATTAATAAATGATTAAATAATTACATAGGTTATGCCATTGCTAAGTCACACTTTACCTACCTTTTGTTTGGTATGCCGTCCAAACATGAGTGATATATATATATGAAATAGATGACGCATCTCGACGAATGTCATTGCTATTTTTACAGATATAACGTAAAACCTGTTTCACTCAGTAACTTAATAATATAAGAAGGTTATTAATTAAGAAACCGCAAATATGTTCCATATCCGTGTAAAAACATCCTTGTTCGATAGCATAAATCATATTCGCTATCCAAGGGTTTCTGATACGCTACTCTCCTCACGAACCCTTGGCATACGGTGAAGTCAAAAGACTGGATTGTTTTCCGTCACGTGATTTTGAATCTAGGTAAGCATAGATTGCCTCATCGACAAAAATAAAGACACGTGTTTACAAAAAAATTAAATCAAAGTTCTTTTTAAGAATAATTAAGAAGCAATAATTGGTTTATGTTTATTTATTATTTATAGAACAAATCTGAAGCTTCAATATTTTTTTTCTCGAGTTCTGATTGGGATTCAGTACACCCGGTCGACCAGTCAGCAATTGTTTTTTGTCGTTGTTGTTGTTGTTGTTGTTGTTTTGTAAATGACGAAATTTGCGTTCAGGATACTTCTTGACTCTTTAATCTCGGAAATGAAAAACGAAAGTAAATAACTATCCCCAAGATAACATGCGATTCTATAAATAGATAAGGTGTCATCCAATATCTTCTAAATGTGGTTAAGAATCTATATTGAAGCTTCCGATTTGTACTATGAATAATACATAAACATAACTCAATTATTGCTTCTTATATACTCTTGAAAAAAAAACAAACTTGGATTTATTTTTTTTAAACACGCGTCTTTATTTCTGTCGATGACGCAATCTGTGTCAATGTGTACCTGATTGATTCGAGATTACGTGACAAAAACTTCGCTAACAGATTGACTTACGGAAAATCCTTTGTGCACTGTGAGGTATGGCCTATGTCTGGTTAAATTTCTGTCTTTTATTTATTAATATGTAAAAATAAGCAGGTCCGTTTACTAAAATTTTGAAAATTAACAACAATTTTTACTATGCGGTCATAGGATTTTCGGAGCAATCACCTGAGATACATAAAGTAATGTGACATCCGGATTTCAAACCTTTTAAGCTCTTTCTTAGTTCTCTATATCTTTCATTTCTTTAGACTTTTCTTGTCTTTTTTCTTCTTATAAATTTAATATCCTTATCAAGACATGTTTTAACAAAAAATAAAGCTGTATATAAACAGCAAATCTTTGTATATTTATTGTAAAAAAGGTTTTTATCTGCAGTGTTTTAGCGGTGTGGCAACGCACTTTGAAAAAATTACGCACTTTGAAAAAAAAATTTCAAAGAGCGTAAAATTTTTCAAAGTGCGTTAAATTTTGGACAAACTCAACGCACTTTGAAAAAAATTTTCAAAGTGCGTTAAGAATTAATTTTTTACCATGGAGGCGGCACTTTGAAAAAAAGATATGAATGAAAATAAAAATTCTAAATAATTTTAGTAATAGAGGAAATCAAATTGTAATAATTATATCTCTTTTTTAAATACATGAACTCATTTAACCTCATTGAGAACAAGGAGAAGACACTTCTCTCATCCCAACTCTTTTTTTCTTAAAAATTGTACATAGCCGTCGGTAGCAAATTGAAAGTTGATATATATATTTTTAATGCATACATGTATATATTATGTATATCTTTGCTATTTATGTGCCTACATGTAACCCCCCTTTCCGGTACTTATGCCAATGCTACACCCAAATATATGTGTTTACATAACTGGTATGACGTTGAAAACTTTTGATAAATTTAAGTTTACATAAAATGCATGCAAACTAAAAAATTTAGTACAGTAAAGCATTTAAGCGAAAATTTCTAAGATTTCGCTTTTCATATCCTGATGACCTTTCACAGAAGAATTCAAACAGGTTCAATTATTTATCATACCTACGATTTGCAGGAATATTGACAAATCCATACACAGTAAAGTGCATTAATTTTATTAACGCACTTTGAAAATAAATTTTAATATAAAAAATTTTCATTTATATGGAAATAGAATTTGTTTGCTTCAACCTCGTATATCTAATGAATAAACAGAGTATTTTTATAGATATTTAATAAAAATAAAATGAAATTTCAGATTTTTAATAGACCTTTAATTCAAAGGCGATGTATATTATACAATTTTAGTAATATATTTTCTTTGCGAATTTTCTTCACATCCCTTTGTTAGTATTTTGTATAGTAATAATATCTGTATAAAAACATAAACAGACAGCAGTAAATAAATCTATTGCAAGAGCTTCTCTCACTTTTTAAAGGAAACCTTTGAATCATAAGACTTTAAAACATTATACAATTAGAGGATTGCCCCAAAACACTAAAAAATCTTTCATATAGATTATTCATTACTGATATTATTTGCAGATTACCAGAGAATATTAAACAAATATACAGTAAAATTTTAAAATAAATCTTGCTTTGTAGCATTTTTAATAACTACAAATAACACTAAAAATATCTATAAATCAAATAAGATTTAAGTTAATTATGTCCTTGCAATATTAAGATTCATAAATGACCTCAGACCTGCACAATTTTTCTTTTCCTTGTGCCATCTTGCAATGCGGAATTTTTTCTTCCGGCATGTCTAGGTTTTCTTTTTTGTTTGTATTTGTTATTTCCGTGCGTGTTGCACGATATTTTTTCTGTCACTCGTCGCCTTACTCAGTACATGAACAGTCATACTGTTGTTACATTTGTTTTCTCTGCCCACAATGTAAGTATTTCATATATTTAACTTCTTACAGTTATTTGTATAATGTTTATCTATTTTCGGCAAGGTATTTCTTTCTTAGGCCAGCATTTTTTTTTATTTTTAGGTTAACGAACATCAGAATGAAAAAGTCCCGTAGGAGGAGGAAATAAAAAAAAATTACTTCTTGGATAAATTATCGACTTTTGTACATTCATTTTTGCTTCTTTTTTTATGCTATCCTAACAGATTCCTTGCCACTTGAAACATAATGGTAACAAATAGGAAAAAGGAACCTTTTATAATTTATTTGCTTATTTCATCATCAGTCAGTTTGGGCCAGTGATATAAATTGTGTGAAGTTGATCAGAATAGATTTTAAAAAATCAATTCCTAAAAACTTTTTCAATATATCAAGATATGTGTTAGGTGAATGTGTAGCCATTTTTCTAAAATATACCTGAGACCTTAAATTATAATTCCTTTCATAAAACAGACAGGGAGTACTGGGAAGTATGATGAACATTTTTTTTCAATTAAGAGTAAAATAATGTTCTGGCTGCCACAAACGATACTACACATGTACATGCCTGTATATATTTGTGTATGCTTGCTATTTAATAGTTGATTTTTTTTTTTATTTCTTCAGGGTATTGTTTATTTCTTCCTCAAATAGACTTAATTAACTTCAATAGTTTTATTCATTTCATCTGATGCATAAGCGACCATTTGTTTTAAGTAAACTATAAAAGAGACCTAAAGAATGTCTCTGGCAATAGCTACCATGGGCAGTTTTAAACCTGTGGTAAGAAAATAATTTACAGACAGATACTTTTGAATACGTATGCAGAATTATCTCACCAGTATGTCATTGTGCAACAAATTCAGCATTTTATTTGTCCTCTGAACGGGTGAAATGTTCTGAATGGCACTCC